CGAGCAGACGTCATCTACAGTGGAACATTTCAGAGCAACGTCTTATTCAAGGTCATAAAAGCATTCTGATCAGACCATCAACTATCCTCCATTGTTAATCAAGAATATTTTGATCGCATACAATCAGCTTATAACAGATGAATAATCTTGGCAATGTTTTCATTCAGATTTTCAAGTTTGTGTGACATCAAGTCCCGTCTGTTTTCGGGTTTGGTCCGAGAAGGATGGAAAATTCCTTTCCTCCAAAATGATGTTGTGCGTGTGTTGCTTTGGACACGAAAACCCACCATCTTTCAAAGAAGTTTATGTCCTTCCTGTAATCATGTCGATGGAATAATATTTATGAGGGGAATATATTGGTCTTTATTCAAAAGACAGCGCCCAAACACGGATATTAAAGAAACAAATGTTTTGTTCTTTACAGAATAGGATCGAGCAGGATATTACATGTCTGATCAATAAATCAAAAAGTAAATCAAAATTTCACAAAAAAGTCGATTTTCTCCACGATTAAAGTGTTTTGGTGACAAACCACAGAAACTCATGAATTGGGAACTAATTCTGTTATACATAATTACGTTATTTGGAATCTGTAATAATTTTGTACAGGAAAATAATTAGACACAACTTTATGGTAAGGATGGGCAAATATCTCTTTCCAAATTCTGAAACAATACTGTTTTTTAGTTGTTGAACGCCGTACTTGTATTATTGCTTGGACCAGACGATCCAGTGACTGACATCATGAGCATCAGTCTATGCAACTGGGATATGATGACATGTATTAAACAAGTAAGTAAGCCTGACCACCCGATCCCGTTAGTTGCCTCTTATGACAAGCATGGGTTACTAAGACCAATTTTGACCCAGATCTTCACAGGGTTGAAAGAATACTGACATTGAGAAAGCAGGGATGTGTGGATGGTTTCAATGTTTGCGATTGCATATAGTTCATGAGTTGGGGGATAAACGTTCTGTGTTTTCAATGAAGGGCTGGGTTCCCTGTAGATGTAAAACTGCTAAATTTAATTTGGTACCAAATTGATTAATTAAGAAAAAATAACTGTTTAAAATGAAATCCCACTTGCATTTGTCTTCTTGGTTTGTTTGTTTTGTTGGTTTGTTGTTTAACGCTGCACTCAGCAATATTCCAGCTATATGACAGCGGGTCTGTAAGTAATCAAGTCTGGACCAGACAATCCAGTGATTGACAACATGAGCATCGATTGAAATTGGGATCGATGACATGTATCAACCAAGTCAGTGAGCCTGACCACCCGATCCCGTTAGTTGCCTCTTAGGACAAGCAACAAAAACGACAAGATGTCAGAATATTGTTTCACTGGTGATATTGCCGCCATTATTACAAGACTACTTGGCGACAACTGGTTGTGTGTTATTGACAGTGAAGAGGACGTCTGTTGAAAATCTGAAAATTTTAGTTTGTGTGATTAAAGCCAAAATACAGGATATATGGCAGATATGTAATAGAGGTAGAAGTTTCATAAGAGAGAGATTCTTTGTCATGTGCATTTAAAATCACTTGTGTTGTTTAATGAATATTTTAATTGAATCACTGTTAGATCAAGGGAAAAAAAGCATATGTTCAGGTGATTGCTATTTCCAGGTTATTTAATGAAAAAATCACATTCGATAATATTGATACCTGTGTATACAAATGCCTAACAGAACAGTGGGAAATACCATTAACATTGTAAACATGTCGTGTCTACGAATCTTTTTCAAAACATTTACTTTTATGATGTCTTTTTCAACAAGTTTGTCATCTTCTGTTAGTTCCATCCTCAACTTTACTCAAAGAAAGCTATTTAAGTTTTCTACTGTGCATTGTGCATAGGAAGGCAATTATTACGAAACCTGAACCTAGATTTAGGGTTGCAGAGCTCCTGATATTTGTGTTACATTCGCAGACAAATCACCATTACCTAATTAGTTTTGAGTTTCCAAAACCCAATAGTACAACAAATAATTACCTAATGTATTCTTTTCAATTTGAGAATATGTATTTCTTTATAAATTTGTATTTACTAATTGAGCGCAGGTATCACACAAACACGACCTCATCTGCAGTGCATAATACAAAAAGTGCACTGACATGTGTATTGCTGTTGTAAGGTAATGCAGCATATCACACACTTGGGAGAGTACACAAACAAATACAAATTAGAAGTCACCTGAAACAGCATTTTAACAAAATTATTAGGAAAAATGTTTACTCATTGGTGTAAAAATACCAAGGGAGTAAAAATATATTGAATACCAAGAGAAAACTATCAATACGCAAAGTAAATGAAAACAGGTGAGCAAATACTCCGTGGCTCGAAAGATTAACTGGAGCCATGGGGTTGTGTATAGTCTGTCATACAGACCCTGAAACAAATATATCCAATACAGCCCATGCAAGTCTATAAGGCCAGGCTTTTTTTATTTGTAGGATTACGGTTTTTTCAGCCCATAGTCCAGGGTTGGAGGAGGGAAAAAAAAGAAAAAGACAGCAAGAAGCATTTTTTTTTTAATGCAGAATGCCTCTGGCATACTTTATGAACATATTCTGTGCTTAAAAACCGCCATTGGTGACGATAGAGCCCCTTGTAACAATAAGATGTCTACCACTCGCAACACGGACAATTGTCAAGGGAGGCTATTCATGTTCGGCTTCGAGATCAACAAAGATCGATTATGTATCTCTTTACTAGTTTACAACGGTAAATTCATATGTTTTTTACTAAAAGGCGATGATAACAAATAAAATAACTGACTACACGGCTATCAGCGGGGATAAAAAAATGGAAATCTGATTCCTGAAATCCAATCAGCCAGTCCGTAATCCCAAAAATATAAAACACCTGGCCTAACGTTTGGCAGGTCCAGATTACTCCAGTATCAGGAAATGAAGAAAGTCTCTGGACTCCTTTTAAATATATTTTATAACCATTATTTAACAACTGTTTTTTCTGTAAAATATGTTTATTTCAGAGACTAGATGTTGGTCTAGGTTATGTGTAATATACTCATGTGTTTTGATGCTCAAGAAAGCAAGGTAAATGACTTGTCCCTGCCTACCAGGCAATTCCTCTATACACGATTATAAGGAAGCCAGACACTCTTGGTCATCATGTCTGGTTATCCTGAAACTGACATACAAATACTTCCTTGTGAGGAATCCTCCTCACAACTTGTTGACCTTCCATGCTTTCCTGAAGACCAAACAAAACTGGTATGTCAGATGTAAAACTGTATGATGAAAGGAATTCTTCAATATGATGAATACACAAACTAATGAATTATACTTCGTTCACAATAATGCAACTGAAGACTTTATTTTTTATAATTTCAAAAGTTTGTTTAACGCCACGCTCAGCAATATTCCAGCAGTCTGTAAATAATCAACTCTTGACCAGACAATCCAGTGATTGACATCATGAGCATTGCAGTTGAGATACAATGACTTGCATCAACCAAGTCAGTTGGCCTGACTAACAGATCCGGTTAGTCGCCTCTTACGACAAGCATGGGTTGCTGAAGACGTATTCTAACCCGGATCTTCACGGGTACCCATTATAAGATAAATCATTTGAAAATAAGAGACAAGGATGGGCACCCAAGTGGTTGATAGCATGAGCAACAAATTAGAATTTTTGGCACTGATGTGTAACCTCTCTGATTGAACATTTGAGGACACTCCTTTAGCGCTAAGGCTTCTAAATTCTAAGCATGTGTGAGCAAAGTATTCAGACATATATCATTTCTGAAAACAAACATAAACGGAAAGCTCTGAATGCTAAATAATAAAGCTGCACTGTTATATGTTGTGTATGTTAAACAGCCTGTTGTTTCTGAGTACATATTGCATGCATTCCAAAAGTGTCACCATCAACGGTATATCTGTGATCAATGTGGGGTCTCTTTTGCTAAAATCGAAATTCCAAATTGAGGTGGAAAAGAAATGATTTGTTTGTTTGTTTGTTTGTTTGTATGTTTGTTTGTTGTTTACCCTCTGGATGCCGAGATTTTTTTCTGACGCACATTTTCCTGAGATCGGAAAAGTGAAGGTTGTACGAGAATTGCGCTCGCGCGGCACTGGATCTACCTCTGGCTATAAAATTACGCAATTTGATGGTGTAAATTTAACTGCAAATATGAAAGCGGTTTTAAAAAATGACACTGCTAAGTGTTGTCCGAGAATATATTCTGCGTTGAAAAACAGCAAATTCCTCTGCTTTTTATCGTACGACAATATATTTCTGTGGTGTTTTCTTCACGAGGAACTAAACTATTCCAACACAAATAGCAATATTGAAACTGTATACGTTTAGTTATAAAAAAACCAATAAGAAATGATGAAATCGTACTTCATAAAAAAGAGGTAAAAGATAAATGGATGGCCCTATCTGAGATATAACTTAGTCCTTAGATTCCAACATTCTCCTGAATTTGTAAGTGTAATTTGACTTATGTTGCACCATTATTAATGGAGCACTAACCTTATCATCAAATGTAATGATAAATACCAATAAGATAACACCATTCCTTTTGACGTCATGGCTGGTTTTATGTCTTTGATAATTTCGGAGAAAGACGACACTGGTATTTTGATTAAAATATATCTCCCCTAACTTTTGTTCATGGTATGTAAATTTCTCGATGTGTAAAACAGAATTTGATGTTTTTTCGACACAACATAAAATGACTGCTTTCACCAAGTAAATAATGTCTTGAATATATAGAGAATCTCACCCGAATGTCTTTTGATATCAAATATATCAACGAGTGTTGATATATTTGATATCAAAAGACACTCGGGTGAGATTTTATTTATCATCCAATATCATTCTTAAATCAAAATATGCGAAAAAAGAACTTTCGCGGGGCGAACGGCAGATTATTGGCGTATGAATACATTTAGCAACGTCATGTGAATAAAAACAAACGACAGATTTTTTGTGTGTACCTTCATTGACAAAAAATAGTGCACAATGAAATTGCCGTTATCTCGACTAAAGTCACAGTTCATACGGCAAAATGAATGCATCATTGCATTTTTATGTGCCTTTATCACCCAAAAATATTTCAATGGAAGAAAATATTAACAGCAATAAGTAAATAACATCATCATGTGCGAGATGTCACGTAGACATTTGCAAGTTTGCGGCAGAGGCGAGAGGAGTGCTAATCAGATTCGGAATCACTGTCTATTACGGCAATTCGGCGTTTTTTGGAAGCATAATTGACAATAATCGTAAAAGTGCCACCTGAAATGTTACTCGATCCAAAAACTGAAGATATGTGGTCGCGTTTCATTGAAGAAGTGCATGAAACCGACGAAGCACATGTTGAGTTCGAAGCAGGCGGCATGGTAGCAACCGGACACACCTCGCTATACCGCGAACAGCTGGCATTGTTTACCTCCCTGTTCACCTCAGAAGAACGCGGTACAAGTGCTCTGGTCTTTGATCCTGAAAGAATGGAGGATGTTTCCCTGTGTTGTTCAGAGTTAATATGGGAATAATTTTTGATGCTGTGTACGTTTTTGTGGCCTGATATCTGCATAATGTGAGACGGTGGGATGTTTGCATCGTTCAACTTTTGCACCAAATATTTACGGGCACTGTGGTTTGTCAGTTTCTTGTCACTTGACATTCCCGCAGAAGTTACCATGCGTTTCATTATGGATTCAATTTTGTGGATACCAACAGTTTGCCTTCTAAACCATGGACCTGGTAATGAACCTTGATTTTGACAGTGGAGCTTGCAATGTAGAAAGGTCTATCTGGAGTTGAGTAATCGCCAGGTCTCAAACTACGGTAGAGCTTATACATTTCAATGGGACAATGAGCTTTATTTTTTGGAGTGGCAAACATTTTAGGAGTAACATCCCTAGTGCCCTTGGGATCGGAACCTTGTCTTGTCTTGGATACCCTTTCTGTGAAATCGAGATACTCCAGACTATTTGTGTCAACGCGAAGCTCAACATCCCCCCACAACATTTTTTTGTGTTCGTCGGACCCACGGAGACCAAAATGTGTGGTGTTATTAAACCAAAGAGTGTTAATTATGGCATCTGGCGACGAATTTCCAAATTGTTTGGTCTCCCACAACATTTCAATTTCATTGTCGGATATAGCGTCACACCTGTTTGGTAAGTTACCTTTACCCTTTGACTTCAATTGTTTTTGTTTTGCTTTCATTATGTCTCTATACTGAGTGAACCCAGTGTCATCTCGAAGTGAGTAGCCGTAATTGTGTCGGCGCAGGTATCTCTCAATTGATGAACCAATACCACGCAGTGTGTTCCTTTCAAATTCACCCCCATCCTCTTTCCGCACAGAAATTATGAATTTGCAGATTATTGTATTGAGATCTTTGGGTGGAATTTCATGAATAAGACGACTTTCGCCGATAGACAATAAGAACTGGTTCAACAATTTCATGTCATGAAGGGTTTTTCTAGCAGTGTTTTGATTTTCCTGCATATCGATCATTTTGTCTATATCACTATCATCGACTTCGATTGGCGTGGATTGGGATTGGTTTCAGGGAGTGTACGGGACTCGCTCGACCCTGGAGTTGTGCAACTTGAACTTGACCTTGATGACGTTAACGCTGACGGCTGCCCACCTGATCTCTTTGATGTGCCGATGAGCTTGATTCTGGTCTCCATTAGCTCCATTTCGTAGTCTATTCCATCCAGTCTACACCGATAGTTTCCTTCACCAACATTCTTAACAATTGTTGCTTGCCCAGACCCATCAATTGACACTTTGTCACCTGAATAAAACTTTTTGATGTTTATGTCGGCCATGTTTGTTGATGTTTATTAGGTAAAAGTAGTCCCAATGGTCATAATGGTCATGTGACCTATATTGGCCAATCAGTGATTCAGAACAGCGATATCTACAGTGTAGATATCGCAAATGTGATATCTACAGTGTAGATATCGCTTGATCTCACCCAAGCGATATCTCCTGTGGGAGCCAGTTTTGGATGATAAATTAACAATTAGATAGTTTATCGTGTATCATGACAAGACACGCACCTGTTTGGCATCAATTTTCGTAACGAAAAATACCCTAAAGAATATTTCAAAACAACCAAAATTATATTCAATATTGGAAATATATTTGTTTATTATTATGTAATAATTTCTCTTTATCTTGTTTTAGAATTACACAATAAAAGATGCAAAGAAAGCTCTATTGGTATAGAATTATCAGGATAATCGTATCAGGTTGAACCAACGGCCCAGGATACATGGCATGGGTTTTATTTTTATACTTTTTACAATTCCTGGAGAAATAACACAATATTGAAAAAAGAATGAACCCATTGATAATATAATGCAAAACGAGAGGAATAATTCATAAATTGTTTGTGACTAATGCACACCTGGCAAATCATTTAATATCACTGTTCTGTGTATCAAACGACATAAAAAAACAATTCCAAGACCAAGACAACTCTTTCAGAAATGTAAGCATATATTTTAACGAAAAATATTATCCATTTTGTTAAAGTAATATGTTCAGTTTTAGTTATAAAATAAAATTAAATGCCTATTCATGGACATTTGTTATATGAACTTATAGTATTGACTATTACACATCCCAAGAAATACGTACATGCTGCAGTTACATTTACACTTCATCTTGTAACACTTTTCCTAAGGAAAGAAATATCGTATTTGAAATATCGTATAAACCTATCAATTCTGATGTAAACAATGTTCAAACAAACAGGAGATTATCAAAGGTTTGTTCATACATGTTGTGGCCTATATTTGACAATATCCAAAGTGAAATTAATTGTGTGAAAAAATGATACAACGATCGTGTGCACTCTCATTCAGGGACCTTCACCTCAAAGAAATGACCAAATATGGACAACAATGTTGACGTATGACATCACTACCAATGACCGACTATTACAAAATGGTGTGTTGACTGTCAACAGTACGTGGGATTTTATGAGGGGTCTTTCATTGATTCAGGGATCGTTTATACATAAATGTGACGTGTAAGTTATCAGAAACATTCTGACAATATATGTACTGTTATTTGTTGTTATATATTTCATTGAAACCATCAGAAATTCTGATAAATACCGTTGTCGTTGAGCATGATTTTGCGTCAGTCATGGCGTCACACAGGACAGTAACTATGACAATTTCTGTTGAAAATATCAAATCATTGCAATGTATCTATTTTAAATTCCCTAATTCTTCCTACGATTCTCTTCCCATGCATATTCTGAAAATGATGAGCCAATATCTTGAACAAATAGACAAATGGATAGCTCAAAATAGGACAAAATGCTACACTGTGTAAAATCTGAATTTTGCTGTGTTTACATTTCAAACAAGTGCAGTTTTTCGAGCACAGCATCCGTTTTCACACCTAACTTATTTTGGTTGATTTCATCTAGGCACTTTGTATTGGTGACAAAGACCATTAATCATTTGATTCTTAAATGTATGAGGAATTCAAGGATGTATGTATCGCAGCTAAGTTTGAAATGAATGTGATGTTACAGGCATCTCATAACCGGTGTACATAAAAAATGATTTTATAAACACTATCCAATAAGGCGGAAAGTTCACTTCAGCGTTCGTGTTTGCATATTTTCCAAAACATTCGAAACAATTCTAGGGTCATCAGAGATGTTTTGGAATGATCATTGGTGATTTCATAAAAGACAGATACCCGTGATCACTAATATGCTATTTTTTTAAATTCATTTCTCCGAGTAAATATCCGAAATTTAGATTTGGTTGCTTAGTTTGTTGTTTAACGCAGCACTCAGCAATATTCCAGCTATATGACGACGGTCTGTAAATAATCGAGTCTGGACCAGACAATCCAGTGATTTATATCATGAGCATCGATCCACGCAATTGGGATCGATGACATGCATCAACCAAGTCAGCGAGCCTGACCACCCGATCCCGTTAGTCGCCTTTTACGACAAGCATAGTTGCCTTTTACGTCAAGCATGGGTTGCTGAAGACCTATTCTACCCCGGAATCTTCACGGGTCTAACGCCACACTCAGCAATATTCCAGCTCTTTGACAGTGGTCTGTAAATAATCAAGTCTGGACCAGACAATCCAGCGATTGAGCATCAACCAAGTCACTGAGCCTGACTACCCGATCCCGTAAGTCGCCTCTTACAACAAGCATAGGCGCAAGCATGGCTTGCTGAAGACCTATTCTACCCCGGATCTTCACAGGTCGAAAAGAAATGAAGCAATGAAGTTACATCTGATTGGCTCAAGAATCTATGCATCCTTCATCTAGATCAGGTGGTCACTTAGGGTTCTCAAGACGCCACCTCATTTTGGGGTCTCTTCAGTTTTTCACACAGAGGTTTGGAGAAAAAGATTTTATTTCAGTGAGACTGGAATCCAATGAAAATATTGGTTATGGTTGCAACAGGCAACATGTCACATACAAATAATTGTCTTTCTAATTGAGGCTTGCACTTTTAACCTGATTAACTGGAATCTGATGTCTCCGACTACAGGTAAACCTCAGCCATGTTACAGACTGTAACATCAACATCCACCAACACTCTAGCTAATGGCTGCATAACTGCGATGTTTCCTCCTACAGGTAAACCTCAGCCATGTTACAGACTGTTACATCAACATCCACCAACACTCTAGCTAATGGCTGCATAACTGCAATGTTTCCTCCTACAGGTAAACCACAGCCATGTTACAGACTGTTAAATCAACATCCACCAACACTCTAGCTAATGGCTGCATAACTGCAATGTTTCCTCCTACAGGTAAACCTCAGCCATGTAACAGACTGTTACATCAACATCCACCAACACTCTAGCTAATGGCTGCATAACTGCGATGTTTCCTCCTACAGGTAAACCTCAGCCATGTTACAGACTGTTACATCAACATCCACCAACACTCTAGCTAATGGCTGCATAACTGCGATGTTTCCTCCTACAGGTAAACCACAGCCATGTTACAGACTGTAACATCAACATCCACCAACACTCTAGCTAATGGCTGCATAACTGCGATGTTTCCTCCTACAGGTAAACCTCAGCCATGTTACAGACTGTAACATCAACATCCACCAACACTCTATCTAATGACAGCATAACTGCGATGTTTCCTCCTACAGGTAAACCTCAGCCATGTTACACACTGTTACATCAACATCTACCAACACTCTATCTAATGGCTGCATAACTGTGATGTTTCCTCCTACAGGTAAACCTCAGCCATGTTTCAGACTGTTACATCAACATCTACCAACACTCTAGCTAATGGCTGCATAACTGCAATGTTTCCTCCTACAGGTAAACCACAGCCATGTTACAGACTGTAACATCAACATCTACCAACACTCTAGCTAATGGCTGCATAACTGCGATGTTTCCTCCTACAGGTAAACCTCAGCCATGTTACAGACTGTAACATCAACATCCACCAACACTCTATCTAATGGCTGCATAACTGCAATGTTTCCTCCTACAGGTAAACCTCAGCCATGTTACAGAGTATAACATCAACATCTACCAACACTCTAGCTAATGGCTGCATAACTGCGATGTTTCCTCCTACAGGTAAACCTCAGCCATGTTACAGACTGTAACATCAACATCTACCAACACTCTAGCTAATGGCTGCATAACTGCGATGTTTCCTCCTACAGGTAAACCTCAGCCATGTTTTCAGACTGTAACATCAACATCCACCAACACTCTATCTAATGGCTGCATAACTGCGATGTTTCCTCCTACAGGTAAACCTCAGCCATGTTTCAGACTGTTACATCAACATCCACCAACACTCTAGCTAATGGCTGCATAACTGCGATGTTTCCTCCTACAGGTAAACCTCAGCCATGTTACAGACTGTAACATCAACATCCACCAACACTCTAGCTAATGGCTGCATAACTGCGATGTTTCCTCCTACAGGTAAACCTCAGCCATGTTTCAGACTGTTACATCAACATCCACCAACACTCTATCTAATGGCTGCATAACTGCGATGTTTCCTCCTACAGGTAAACCTCAGCCATGTTACACACTGTTACATCAACATCTACCAACACTCTATCTAATGGCTGCATAACTGCGATGTTTCCTCCTACAGGTAAACCACAGCCATGTTACAGACTGTAACATCAACATCCACCAACACTCTAGCTAATGGCTGCATAATTCCAATGATTCCTCAGACTATGAGGCGACCACCTGTCAGTATAGCCAATCCAGCGAGACAGTCTCCCTTGAAGGATTGCATGCTGGCCTCCATTACCTATATTCCCTGATGACCCGGATACATTTGGTAATATTCCGCAGCCATTCTTGGAGATGGGAATAAGCAGACGATGTATCTGTCTGTGGCTTACAGAACAACATCAAATAATTGTCTCTTCACACCAGTGTACGTTTTTTTTCACATTTGTTAAGAGGTCTGTTATTGTGGTTTCATTTGATTCATTTTCAGTTTGATTGGGTATTTTTTCACATGAGAGCAATCCTGTGGTGATTCCTAGGATCAATTACCCCTAGTACTCACACTTGTCCTAAGAGACGGCTAATGATGATTGGCTGCATGGTCACCCCATGCCCCTGAAGATTCGGGTTAGAATTTGGCGTCAGTGGTTTCGGTCACTGTACACACTTGTCATTGTTTGTTCCATGTCATGTTTATGCTATTGTTATCGTTATTCTTCCATCGCTCAGGGAAATTCGTCCTATTTTGACCTATTATTTATTAAAGGACAAGAACAGAGCTACAGAAATATCAAGTAATTCTT